AGGTACATTCTTGTTCCTACAGAAAACTCAAATTTATCATTCCAAAAGCAGTCAGATTTTAAATAGAACTGTTAAGATTCCTTTCACATTTGTGACAAACAACATTTTATCTGCCTTAATGCTTACCTCATGAGTCGATGAGCCCACCTGTAACTTTGTGTTTTGAGGCTAGAGGGTGAAGGGATTGTGCGCGTGCTCTTGTCCCTCTGGGTCCACCCTGACACCTGGACTTCATCCAGTCTGCTGAGTGAGGGGCCAGGTGGAAGTGCCTGTGATGCCTTTTGGGTGAACTAGGGTGGCAGTTCATCTGGGGGGCGGCCCAGATGCTAGACAATGGAGGAGGGAGCCCTCTGACCCGGCCTTCACTCCGGCTGCCCTGCTCTTTCTTTATCTTGGGCAGAAGCACAGGCGGAGCATTATGCAATAATCTTCTTATTTTTCAGAACTAAAAGAGCACAGCCAACAAAAGGAGGGAGAGGAAGCCCTTTTCCATTTTATCTCATTTATAGTAAGTCTGGATTGTAGCAAAGTCACGCACAGGGTGTTCTCAAAGCCACATAATTCCTGGCACGTGGTCTCTAAGGTATTCTTGTTGACTAAATGTGTATGAATATATATATTTCATCTGTTACCACGGTTCTTAACATTTGGTGAATGTGTAACTTATTTTAAAACTTGATGATGAAAATTATAGGTCTTCTCCCCAAAATGCATACATATATCTCTTGAAAATTTGCATATACTTTTGCAAAAGCCCATCCATATTTCAACCAACAGGGCCTTGATAGGCTAAAAGGCCACATTTCCGTGATTTAAAAATGTGTTATTTATGGTCTTGTTCAATTTATATATTATGTAACAATGATTTTTTTCCTCAAACTGAAAACCTGAAAAATCATGTAAGTTCCTCATCTACAACTCAATGTAGAGTGAAGACTTCTTGATCCAAGTCATGTCCTTACAAGGAACTTGAAATTTCTACCAGAGAATATAAACTTAATTGTGAAATGCCCAAGACACTGATCTGAACACGGAAGACCTTGATGGCAGGCTACGTTTAGCTGGGGGCCATGGGGACATTCCATTTTCAGTTACTCTGAAATTTCAGTTTTTAACCTCTAAAGTATATCAGCTCATCCTGCTTATAATGTCCTCTTCTTCACAACTATGAATCATATCATTCACATTTGGAGGCTCAGCTTACATCATGCTTCCTTGGTGTTTTTTTTCCTCTAAAACCATTGGTAGATCAATTTCTCTTTTTTTTATGTCTTCCCATCAGGTTTATTTGTAGCTATGTACTTTATTTTATTTTATTTTATTTTATTTTATTTTTTTTTTGGTGGTGCTGGGGATTGAACTCAGGCCCTTGTGCTTGCAAGGCAGGCAGTGGAACCACTGAGCCAAATCCCTGGCCTGTGTAGCTATGTACTTTAAAGTGCTTAGCAAAGTCTTTTGTTTCCCATACTAGAAGAGGAGGGCTTGGAGAGAGCACTTAGTTTTTGAAGATAATAGGTGATCGATACGAGTTTCAGAGGCAGTATGTGTAGTGTTCAGGTACTTTGGCTCTAGGTAAGAACATGGGTTTATTTAACTGCTTCTTTTCAAGAAAAAAACCCTTGAATTTCCCAAGTGTCAATTTTCCTCTTTCTGGAAAATTGGTATCATAATGATACCTGTTCCACCAGGCTATTGTGAAGATGAAATAATATACTACATAAAAACATTTAGCATAGTGCTTTGATTATAATAAATGTTGAATAAAGGTTAGTTATATAATTTGTTGAGAAGTTTTTTTTTTTTTTTGAGACAGGGTCTCACTATGTACTTGAAACTGACCTGGAACTCACTATGTAGCCCAGGCTGGTCTCAAAAATCACAGTGATCCTCCTGCTTCAGCCTCCCAAGGGCTGGGATTACAGGCGTGTGGCACCACGCCCAGTGTTGAGCAGTATTTTTATCTTTATTATTTTATTTATCTTTTGATTGACATGATTATCTGTATTTTTGGGCTTTGATGTGATGTTTTGATTCACATATAAATAGTGAATGATATAATCAGGGTAATTAGCATATCCACCACCTTAAACTTTTATCATGTCTTTATGGTGAGTATATTTTAAGCCTTGTCTCCTTGCTATTTGGAGATATACACTACTGAGAGCTCACTTCATCTGACCATGTAAAGGAGCACCAAACTCACTCCTCTCTCACTATGACAGTGTGCCTGCTGGCCAGCCCTCTTCCCTTCCTGCTTCGCCTCCCCTCTTCCTAACCTTTGGTCACCACTAGTCTACTCTGAATGTCTCTGGATTTACTCTTTTAAATTACACAGATGAATGAGATCATGTTGTATTTCTCTTTCTGAACAGAGTTTTGATAATGAATTATCTTTAACATTTGGAATTGTGCAATATAGTTAATAAACAACTGTAGGCTAAAATAAAGACATTGTAAACTTTCAAAAAAAATTAAAATCTCCTATTATTTTTAGGTCTTTTTAAACAATTTTTCCTTTCAATCTGTAAAGTCTGTTTGGCTGATTAAGTTTCAGCTATTCCAGCCAGCTCTAGGCCACTGACAGGGTCCTTACAATCCTATGTGATACTGATTTGCTTCTAACACTGTCCTGAAACTGAAAGACAGATCTCTAGCCTCAAAGAGATTCTAAGACTAGTTAAGCAGGTGACTTTGGAAAATAGGATCCTTCTATTTATTTTGTTTCTGGAGACAGGGTCTTGTTATGTATTCCAGGCTGGCTTTGAACTCACTATCAGGCTGACCTGGTACTTGCAGCAATCTTCCTGCTTTAGCCTCTTGGGTGCTGGGATTACAGGTGTGGTCCACCACACCTGGCAAAAATAGTACCTTTTAAACATGTGTTTTGAGCCTTCTACTTGAAATTCTTTCTTACCATTATCCTTTTCTCTAATTTCCTTCTGGAAAAGACAGTGGCTCATTGTACTGTAGTAACTAACATCTTTGGATGCAAAGAAAAAGTACAAGTATTAACTTGTTAACGATAAAAAAATTATATCTGTGCATGTACCTTCAGCTAAATCCTCAGATTCTCTCAAACCAGGGTTAAATTCATTTGGATTTTCCTCATTTTGAGCATCCGAATTTAAACAAATATTTAAGGGCAGAGATTTTTTTTTTTATTCCTCTTGATGCTCCTGGATTTGAGTTCAGTTGATATATACAATAACTAATTGCTGATTAAAAATATACAAGACTGTGTTGCATTTAAAAAAACACTAAAATTTAATTGTTTTGGAATTTTTATTTTTAATAAAGAGACTGAAATAAAAATTATTAAAGATTATTTAGGGCTGGGTGTGGTGGCTCCTGCCTGTAATCCCAGCACTCGAGAGGCTGAGGCAGGAGGATCGCTGAGTTTGAGACCAGCCTGGGCTACGTAGGGAGCTCCAGGTCAGTCTCAACTACATAGTGAGACCCTGTCTCAAAAAACCAACAAAAAAGATTATCTGGACTTCAAATTTGAGTTAGGAATCCATTTTTTTTCCTCGGGAAATCTTTTAGTGTCTGCAATCAGATTAGACTATCTTTCTTTTGAGAATCCATTGTTAATTATAAGAATTTAATTCTTCACTTTAATAATATTCTACATTTATTTTCTTGTTTTTAATGTCTTTAACATCTGGCATATTTCTTTCTGACTTTCTGTCTAAATGAGAATTCATTATGTGTCTATTTATATACTACATGTGAAAGCAGTTTCATGACCCCTATTTTTTATGTGCAAAATCAGTCAACAGCAGTAGATATTCTTTTAACATTTCATTGACATGATTTATTTGATAACAAGAAATTAGAATTACGTAAGCATTTACATAATGTGGGAATGGATCACATAGGAAACTTTGTGATTGATTCTCCTTGTCTAATAACAGACATGTGAAGAAGTCTGGGATTGAAATCTACTTGGGGGCTCTTAGGATAGTCATTCATTTTTCCCTGTCATATGTCTATGTTTTACTTAAGAATACATTCAGCTTCTGAGATGGTTTGGAAAAAATTTTTGTTTTGTATTTCTTTTTGTTTTTCTTCTGCCACTCTGCCCCTTTCCCCGGCCATGTCTGTCCCAGCTTTAGGTGCTGGCTGCCAAGGAAGGTGGGCCTGTAAATTTGGAATGCTAATTCCTACCTGTGCTGGAAGCCAATCTCTTGGACAGAGAAAGGCTTTTCTTCACATTCCAGTTCTACTTTATTGGAAATAAAGGCATCCTAGGCTACAGAATCTGGTTTAACACACTTGTTCTATGGGGATCTGTTAGGAATTCTTGGTAGACCATTTTATTTTCAAAAAATCTACTAAAATAGAGATAGATGACTCCCTCACGGGATGTGATTTTGCTGGTGACATCTGAAGCTATCCAAAGAACCATATTAAAATTCTGAGAATAACTCATTTATGATATAGGGCCTAATATCTGAAATGATGTCACAGATAAGAGTTCTCCAGGCAGAACTATTCAAGCTGCCTAATCATTTTCTAAAAACAAGGTTTGTAAGCACACCTCTTTTCTAAAACCAAGCCTTTTGTCTTTGGTAACGTACTTCTGATTCAGAGGCCAATCAAGTTTAGAAAGGGCCTAGAGATTCAAGTCTAAATTGGGATTACACCTGGGAAGAATCTACTGAATCTTTTCAAGAACTGGCCTCAGCTTGTCATTACGTGCAAGCCAGCCTCCATAGAGCCAGACATACTTGGACCATCATCACAGGGTGGGTTCAGGGATCCTGATTTAGGACAATTTCAAACCTGCTTTGGAGTGCGTTGCATTCCTTGGATATCCTTGTACATCAGTTTGATCTCCTTCGGGAGAGATGCTGGACCTATATCAAATCCACGCTCTTTGAATGTGGGCTCCATCGCTGAGGCTGACCTTGAATGAAGGTTGTCTCCAAGGGCAAGATCACTTCCAAGCCCTGGAACAAGGGACTGTACTATGTCTGGCCCATGTTGGGCTCCCTTACCTGATACAGGTTGGCTAGGTGGTGGTTCGTTTTGATCAAAAATGGCTGGTTCACTCCTGGGTGGTCAACATCGTGTGCTGCTGCAGCCAGTAGTCCCAGCATGATGTCCAGGGGTGTGAGGAAGCTGGCCAGCTGTTAAAAAAGATCAAATTGAGAGGTTGATGTGCTTCCACCAATAGGGTGACATTAGTTTGGGCTAAATAAAAAAGAATGAAGCATTGTTTAGAAGTGTCAGCAGATCTTTACCCTCTGAGGTATCTCAGCAAGGTAATATGCACACGGAAGTGCAGGAAGATACAGAAGGGCTGTATGGAAGGTAACTGACTAAGTTCTGGTTGTGTGGATCATTTGGGTACCCTCCTCCTCTTTTTGCTGCTCTATGTTGTTTTGTTGTAATGACATTCCTTACTAGCAGCTCTGAGAGCTGGTAGGCAGGGAGAAGACCAGGATTGAAATCAGCCTTGCTCCTAGAGAAAGTTGTAAATGAAGGCAAAAGTTGAAACCAAAGAGATGGACACAAGAAAGAATCATTTGTGTGTTTCAACTAATATATCTTTGCCACTTCTTTGAAAGAAGTGGGCTGAATTGCAAAGTTTTCATACTTCATTAATATGTAATAAATAATGGGGAATGTGTGAGAATCTTTCATTTTTTTGATTAGATAAGAGAATAAACAAGGAAATGGGAATCCACTACTAATAAAAATACAATTATGTGATGTTACAACTTTTGTACGTTTTTGAGATTAAAAAATTTAACGCTTAATGTTTTGGGGATATTTTATAGGTATGAGATATCTACCCAGCTTTGTCCCAAGAATGCCTAATTTGATGTCTGTAGATTTATGTTTGGTGTTAAGGCAGCTTTATATTTAGTGGATTGGTAAAACTGATTGAACTAAATAGAGCCGTAGACTGGAATATCATTTTCCAAAAATGTGAATTTTAGGCAGATGCAGTGGTATACCCATGTAATCCCAGATACTTGGGAGGCTGAGGCAGGAGGATCACAAATTTGAGGCCAGCCTAGACTCAAGATTCTCTTTCAAAATAAAAAAAATAAAAAGGGTTGGAGATATAGCTCAGTATTCATGGGTTTCATCCCAAGTACGACAAAAACAAAAACAACAAAAATAAACCCCTTAAATTTTGTATAGCTAAGAATTTATTTAGATTGTGAGTAATGAACATTATCAGTATGCTTTTATTTTTGATGTTGGGTGCTTTATTGTGTCAGAATATGCTTGTAAAGAGATCTTTGACAGTCACAAGTTTTTGTTGTCCCTGAATTCAGTTGGCCAAGTAGGAAATGGAACTTGACCATTTTAATGGATTTTGATTCCATTTGTTGACCAAAAACTATGAGGTAGAAACCTTTTCAGTAAAGTTCAAGGCCAGCCTGTTTGCGGTAAAGGTCCAAGGCAAAGAGCTTGTTCTTGGGACCACTAAAAATATCTAAGAGGTAGATTGCCATAGAGAATGTTGCTTTTGTCCTAATACAGCCTTGAAAATATGAAAAGAAACCTCAGAAAATTCATATCCCTTTTCATGAATATTATTAGATTTTCAGAGCTGATACTGAAACTTTAATATAAATAATTTTGCATTCATATTGTGAAAGACTCCTAACATAGTTGTTTGGTTATGTTGGGTAATTTGGAACCTAGGAGGTATCTGTTCGGCATTTCCAGGTGGCTAAGGGGGTAGCTGAGACTTGCTTTACCTTTGGCTCCTTCAGGTAGCAATGCATGGCCTGGGTGACATCGGCAGCATGAACAGCATTGTGATAAGGGTTTTGGCCATGGTAATCTTCTTGCACCATGACTAGGAGATAAACAGATTACTCAGTCAGCTAAAACCAAAGCAAGAATGACACACTAGTTCAGATTATTGAGGATGCTTTTTTTTTCATTGAATTTATTGGTACTTTAAAAGTATACAGTACAGTTGCACTCATCATTGGGATCTTGTACCTTTATACGACAGATCTTGGTTCTCATTTTTTCCCCATTCCCCTGTCCTCCCTTTACCCTCAACCCTCCCCTGTTTACAAAGACTTTGTTTCCATTGAGGGTGCCTTATGTTTGAAACTATTAGTGCCTCCAAATGCACTGCCTGGGGATCCTTTAAAAATGAAGGTGGTTTGCAAGCTTGGCAGTTTTACTGGGATGCTTGGAGTGGAGAGGAGTGGGAGAGTTGAAAGGAGAAAGGCCAAAAGGATTTGTGAGGCTCTTGGGATTTCTCACCTCCTTCATAAATCACCCCTTTCTGGCGTTCATGAAGGCCCTCATTCATACAAAAAATAAATACGTAGGAAAAGGACAACTTTATTTCACACCATAGTTTAATTATTTAAGTTTGCTGCCATTTATGAATAATACGCCATAAACGAAGCTTCCTTTCAGGGCCCTGGTAGCATCAGATTCCTAATACCCAATGATTGGATTACCACTTGAATAATAAATACTGACCGAAGCAGATCTGGGGCTTCTTCAGGTAGAAACTCAAAGTACTGCATTGATCCAAATGAAGCCTTCTTGGCTTTATTTCTACCTTCTTCAAGGTCAGGCGGCAGCTTTCATTCCTCTCCAACCTAATGCAAGGCTCAGAGTGCTCTTGGAACCAAGTTGAATGATAGGTGAGGCAGTTTTGGCTTGCTGTTTACAGAAGCCACTAGCCTGCTACAGCTCAGAACCAAGTCAGTGCCTAGGATGTGATACATTCAGCGGGTACAGCATGTTCAGATTTGCAAGTGTGACCATACCCTCTCGGCCTGTGTTATGAATCTGGCTCTGGATTCTGGTGGTAATTCAGTTACTAAGACTGCACTGAAAATGTTCTCTTGGCACATACATGGGTCCAAAGAATCTGTAAAATCTGTATCTTCTCCTTTAGACAAATCAAAATTATTTGGCTTTATTCATGGCCATTACTTTATTCAAATAATTAAAATGCAGTCAGCCCAAGGTTCTTTATGTTTCTGGCAAGAATCCATGTTTTGTCTGGTTTTAGATATTTCTGTTGTGCCACATATACTTTTGTTCAGCAGCTTTGTTTCATAGTTATTTAAACCCTGGCTCTATCGCTTATGATCTGTAGCGGGCAAATTATTTAATTACCAGTTTCCTTAGCTTCTTTCTCTCTAAAATGGGAAGAACAGCAGGGCTGAGCTCAAGGTATTGCTGTGAGGATTCGATGTGTTAATACACGCGTGACCTTGGACTAGGTCCCAGAAGACGTGAGCACCATGTATGCTCTGCTCTGGAGGCTGTTGTTATTTTACTCCCCATGACAGTAATTCGGCTTCCAAATTCAGAATGCAGCCATGTGGCAAGTTAAAGAAGCCAGAAACATGCTAAGCTGCAGAGGGAAGCCATTTGGTGATTAGAAATCTTCCCTGGATAATTCATTGGCAGGTAAGTAAGAATATGAACAAATCAAAGAACCAGGCCTGCTTTTTGATTAAAAGTGATGGCCCATCTGAGTGGAAACATAGCAGACTTTCAAGTTAAGACAGGTCTCAGTGTGAACCGGGGTCCCGCCACTTCTTAGCGACTGGCCTTGGGAAAGTAATGGAACCTCTTATTCCCTCTCCTTAACTGTGGGCCAAGTGGAGGCGGTAATGTTCAACCTGCACAGTGGTTTATATGGTTAGAAATAGCTTGCCTACAGTACCCTGCCTGTAGGGGTGCCACATAATAGGAGTTATTACAATTAGTTTAAAAAATGCCTATTGAAGATTTTCAACAGTTTATGCACTGATTAGAATTAATTGAGAATGCCCTGCTGTTTTTTTTTTTTTGTCAATACAAAAGCAGATTAGAATCTTGACAACCTGTATTTTTTTTAATGGTCTTCTTTATAAAGCCTGAATCTATTGTAAAGACAACTAATCAAGTAGACAATTTATCCATGATTTAAACTAGATAAATCATGTTTTAAAACTAAAGTTTAATCACTGAAAATTAATTTGAGGCCTTTATCCACCAGGCTATGGTTCTTGCCACTTTATACGGAAGAATATTATGCACTGCTATCATTCGTGGGGATGGAAGTAGGAATATGGAAATGAGGACTTACCTAAAAACCTGTGCAAGGTCACCATATCCAGCTTGAAATGGTGAATGAGTCCATGGGTGTTGAAGAGATGGCACAGCAGTGTTACTAGGCTGTTTCCTAGAGGAGGAAAGTCATCTGTTTGACTAATTTTTATCACCACTAAAATATCAAGGCTGAAAATGAAGACACAAAGTGTCTCTGTAATAAGGCTTCTTTGACAAAACCTCCTCCCTTTGGATCTGAAATTATTCAAGCATACTGATACTATGATCTGGCCTAAATTTTCTCTTATTCTACAAATAAAGTTAGCTTAGATCTTTTCCCTATACCAAAGGAAATAAAAATATTAGAACAAAGAAAGTGCCTACGAAAGTGTCAGGGACACATATGTGTATATATATATACAAATGTATCTTTTTAAAAGACACAGTTAATGGCTTGAAATGTAACATTTCCGGTTAATTTTAATTTACAGAGGTATCTAAACCACAGTATTTCTTTTTTTTTCTTTTAATTAATTTTATTGGTACATTTAAGGTATACAATTTAATGACATTCATCATTGGAAATTTGCACCTTTACATAATCCTTCTTGGTTCTTATTTTTCCCCATTCCCCTGCCCTCCCTTCAACGCCTCCCTCCCTCCTTATCTACAAAGACTATGTTTCCATTTTTTTTCTCATATTAATTTCATTCCCTTCTTTCTTTTTCCCTTCCCCTTCCACTTCCCCTTCCTCTGTGCACCCTTTCTTCCTATTTCACATTACCTATTATACTTTTCAGTCCTTATTTACACTTTCAGTTTCTTTTTTTTTTTTTTTTT